GTAAAGCAGTTGGTGGGTTCAAATCGCCAGTCTTTCAGTTAGCAGCCAAGTGCTTAGCCACTGTGCAGCCAGGCCTTCTAGGCAGAGAACAGGGCCCCTATAATAAACACTCTCAGCAGGGTGCTGACTTCTCAAGGCACTCATTGCTGGTTCCCCCAAGGCATGATCAGAAGGCAGTCCTTGCCATACACAGCAGCTGGAACGTGAAAGGGATTTACAGAATTTTTTTAAAAGTAAAGGGATGGAAATTCGGAAAATATTTTAGTAACAATGATGTCTGCTGCAGGGTTATTTATAACAGGGAAACATTGGTGACAAGCTCAAAGTCTAATGGACGAACAGTGGGTGAATAGTTAAGTCAATAATGATAAATTGTTGGTGGATTGTTATGCAGCGTTTAAACAGGTTACAACTAACTTGTAAATTTATGATGTGATATTTTTGTTAAAACTTTAAGTGACTTGTTCACCGCTTCTTGGAATGTAAGTTAAGAGAACTTTTGTGGAGAACTCAACTATTTCCAGATTTTAAATGTGATCCAGCAATTTCACTTCCAAGAAATACTTATACAAATGCACAGAGCTTTAAATATGAGGATGTTTGCTTCAGCACTGTTTGTACTAGGAAATATTGGAGAGAATCCAAATATCCAGCAACTGAAGGCTAGAGAAATAAGGTACATTTATACAGTTATATATAATACAACCATGGGAAGAAAACAAAGTCAACCCTGCGGTCTGTATGTAGGATGTGGGAAAACATCCAAGATCCTGTGTGAAGTGGACAAAAATAAGCAGAACAGAAAGTATGGTACAGTTCATTGCTCTTGAACACGTACGTGTGTTAACAAATGCATCGGCCAAAACTTGCAAAATAGCTACATCAGCTGTCATCTGTGGTTTTGGGATGAAGGGGGTTAGGGAAGACTTCTACTTTCTAATTCAGAATTCTGTAGTACTTGCAGTTTTTACGATAAGCAGATCATACTTTTGGAATTAGAAAAAGATCATGATCACTAAATAAAGTTCGAAGTCCCATTGACCCATTCTCCTGAAAAGACATAAAATTATATTTACAACGTGATCTCAGTCCTATTTTTAAAAAAGCATATAAAAGATCTGGAAAAGAGCTAGACCAAAATTTTGATCCATTACCTGTCTGTCAGTTTGTCGGACGGTGGTGGTCTGCCTGTTGCTGTGATGATGGAAGCTATGTCACCAGTATTTCAAATACCAACAGGGTCACCCATGGTCGACAGGTTTCAGCGGTGCTTCCAGTCTAAGACAGATAGGAAGAAAGTCCTGGTGATATCTACTTCTGAAAATCAACCAGTGAAGACCTGTAGATTCCAACAGAATATTGTGTGATATAATCGTACTGGAAGATGAACCCCCTAGGTTGGAAGGCACTACAATAACCAAACAATGGACTCAGACATACCAACAATCATGAAGATGGTGCAGGACTGGGCAGTGTTTTGTTCTGTTGTCCGTTGTGCATGGGGTCGCCATGAGTTGACGACTCGGCGGCAACTAACAACAGCAGAGTGTTGATAGTAGTTGCTCTGGGTGGATGGCATCTGGCAGATTCAATTTTGTTTTGTCTTCTATATTTTTTTCAATAAGCATAAATTAGCTTCCACATTGGAAGAAAAAATAATGCTTCTGTTTTTTTCAGACTTTCCAGGGATTAGAAAGCTCCAGTGAGGGAGCCCTGGGCCTTGTGTATGTATCTCAGAAGCTCACCTCCTCTGAGCCTTTACTCCCCTGAGTGGGACTTGATAATGGAGCTCAAGCCTGGGGCGTGGGCATGGTGCAGCACTGTTTGGACCTGAGTCAGAGGGAATTGGGCTACCGCAGAGGCTGGCTGGGGTGGCCGCAGGATGCCAGAGAGGAGGGTGTCTGGAATTGCTGTTCCTCATGTTCCCTTCCATCTCAGAGCTGCTGTGGGCTTTGTCCACCACCTCATCCACTCCCTGTGGGTCAGGCCCCTGGCCTAGAAGGGCAATTTGGTCTCATGGATTCTGTGGAGGATGCAGGGTTCAGATTTTCCAGGAAGTAAGTGAAAACGGATTGCTTCCCAGTATGGGTGTAGGTGTGTGTTTGGAGAGGGCAGGGAGGATTCTACCTTGGGATCACAAAAGCAATGCGGTAGGTTTTTGTAACAGAAATGAAGTTATACCATAATACTCTTTAGGAGCTTGCTTTCTTTTCATAGTATGCCTTGGACATTTTTCCCAGCTAGTACCCACAAAGCCCTAGTTTTCAACAGGTTTTGGAAATTTTAGAGGGTGTTTTTGGTCATCACAGTGATGAAGGGCACTACTGGCATTTGGAGTCCCTGTGTAGCACAAATAGTTAAGCATTTGACTACTAGCCGAAAAATTGGTGGTTTGAACCCACACGGAAGACAGGCCTGGTGATCTGCTTCCAAAAAGTCACAGCCTTGAAAATCCTATGGAGCAGTTCTACTCTGCACACATGGTGTCACCATGAGTTGGAATCCACCCAACAGCAACTAACAACAACAAAAAACCAGCATTTAGTGGGTGGGGGCCAGGGATGCTATAAATCCAGAAGTGGGCAGGGCAGTTCTGCACAATGAATTTTCCTGCATCCCACAGGACCTTTGAATGTCTCATGGGAATCTACTCACAATTATCAAAGCCCATAGCTTGACACCATATTACCTGTGAAGGTGTGAGGTGCAGAAAGCAATTTAGCCTTTTGTTCTGGGTTCCTGAGAGCCGGACTACACCTGAGGCTAATGAATAAGGGCAGACCAGACCAAGAGGGAACACCCGGCTGAAAAAACCTCACCAGGCATGATGTAATCTATCATGGCCATGTGGTGAGGCTGATAATAACCCTAAGGACAGAGGCTTACCTGGGGACTTGATGCTGACTAAGCCTGACAAGGCATGTTGTATCATGGCCATGTGCTAAGGCTGATAAAAGCCCTGAGCCCTGAGGCTCAGATGGAGCTTCCTGGTTGGTAAGAGTGAACATCTGTTCTTGGGAGGGTTGTGTATCCCCTTGGGATATGGAAGCTCCATGCTGGGACTCCTCCTGGACCTTACCCTATGCATATCTTCATTTGTATACTTTTTTGTTATATTAAAGCTGTTATCGCAGGTATGGTGTTTCCCATGGCCTCTCTTGTGAGTTATTCTAGAGAATTATGGGACCCGAAGGAGTAGTGGGGGCCAGCTGGTCTGAAGTGGAAGGAGTCACGTGGACTCCCGAGCTTGCTTGCGGCCAATACCTGCTGACCCAGCCCTGGAAGACTGGGGATAAGAGAGAGAAGCGCTACATGGGCAGCTGGGGTTTGATCTACCAGGGAAGGGAAGCTGAGATTTCCATAGGACACAGCTGGTGTGTGGAGTGGGATTTGTTATCCACCATACAATTTGGCATCAGAAGTGGGTGACTATAATCTCGCTAGACTGGTTTGCACAATTGGCATAGTCAGCAGGATTTGCTACCGCAACCCTGACTTCACAAAAGGCAACATTCTTTTGCATGGTTTTAATACACTCTAAGTTTAGGAAGGTTATAAAAACCCATTGACCTGGAGTTGATTCCAACTCGTAGTGACCCTATAGGACAGAGTAGAACTGCCTCATAGGTTTCCAAGGCTGTAATCTTTACAGAAACAAACTGTCATATCTTTCTTCCATGGAGCAGCTAGTGGGTTTGAACCGCCAATCTTTTGGTTAGCAGCGGAGAGCTTAACCACTGCACCACGAGGGCTCCTAGGAAGGTTATGCCATCTATTCATTTCATTTAAGGCAGTAAAATGAGGTGTTATACAATATTTATTATAAAAAGGGAACATTGGATCTGATAGGGTCAACAATTTTGGAATGACTGCTTAGCATTTTAAATGAATATAATCAAAATGTATTTTACTAATCCCTATAGGTGGACATTTGGATTGAATTTGGTTTTGCACCATCACAGACAATAATGCTTCTTGTACATGTATGCACACGTATGTTTGTATTTCTATACGATAGAATCCTAGATGTAGAATTACTGGGTTAAAATAAAGGAATGCGTTGTTTTTTTTTTTTTTAGAACATTGTCAGATTTTTAGAAAAGATTTTTTTTGTTTTTTAGAAAAAACTTATACCCCCTCCCTCCCAGTGGTGTGTGAGCATGCCTTTTCCCCAGCACTTGCTATTAGCAGTCATTAAAGTGTTCTCCGGTCTAATGAGGGGGAGAGAGGAGGAGAAGGGTGGTGTCTTGTTTTCATTCTCAGTTCGTGGATAACAGGTGAAGTTGTGTGTTTTCCTCTGCGTGTTCTTCTTTGGTTGCATAGTTAAGATGTGTCAGGTGGGCTGTGCCCACTGGGAGAGTGAATCAGCTATTTGGGAAGTATTCTTGAAAGGATAATAAAAACTTCTTGCCGTTGAGTTGATTCAGACTCATAGTGACCCTATAGGACAGAATAGAGTTGCCTCAGGGTTTCCAAGGCTGTAAATCTTTATGGAAGCAGACTGCCACATCTTTCTCCCATGGAGCAGCTGGTGGGTTCGAACTGCTGACTGTTCGGTTAGCAGCCGAGCGTCTAACCAGCGCACCACCTGGGCTTCTTAAAAGGATAAGAGGGGAGTATTTCCGTCACTGATGTTGTCTGAAGGAGCCCTGGTGGCACAGTGGTTAAAGCAATCGGCTGCTAACCGAAAGTTTGGCTGTTTGAACCCACCAGCTGCTCTGCAGGAGAAAGATGTGGCCATCTACTTCCGTAAAGATTTACAGCCTTGGAAACCCTATAGGACAGTTGCACTCTGACCTATAGGGTCACTATGAGTTGGAATTGACTCGATGTCTGCCGCTTTGGTTTTTGGTTTTGGATGCTGCTTGCTTCCCCAGAGGTGGGAGACACCAGGGAAGTAGCAGGGTAGAGGAGGCTGGGCTGTACTGTCCCAGGGATCCTGGTCTGTACTGTCCCAGGGGTCCTGGTCTGAGCCTAATGTTCCCCTTTACCTCCTGCAGGAAGCCTGGAAGCATGCGATCGAGAAGGCCAAGCACATGCCCGACCCCTGGGCTGAGTTCCACCTCGAGGACATTGCCACAGAATGTGCGATACGTCACAGGTCAGCAGCTGGTCTGGGAGTTATATGGCACCAGACTGAGAAGTCTTTGGGGGCATGGGTTCTGCTGCTGCTTGCTTCTCTACCCTGCATTCTTGACTCAGTAGATGTTAGCTAATCTGTCAGGCCTAGTTACCTTTGGGGGCCAGGAGAAAGGAATAATAAAAGCAATAATAGCAGGCAATATTTGAGTGTTTATGCATGCTTAAAGCACTGTGTGGTGCAAATGGCAGAGGGAGGGAAGAGTGTTTTCAGCAAGTTTCAGGAAGAAAATAAAAAACATCAATAAAACCACAAAATACTACCACTAACATAATGACACCGATGATGATGATGATGATGATGATGATAGTCCTTATTTTTGATTGACTGATAACCAAAAGGTTAGAGGTTCAATTCTACCCAGAGGCACTTGGAAGAAAGGCCTGGTGATCTACTTCCGAAAAATCAGCCATTGAAAATCCTATGGAGCACAACTCTACTCTGACATACGTGGGTTGCTATGAGTTGGAGTCGACTTGACGGCAACTGGTTAAAGCACTGTGCCTTAAATTATTTCATTTAACCCTTATACTGGCTCTATAAGGTATGTATTAGACAGGCTAGACTGAGCTATGCTGCAGTAACAACTACTCCAGGGGCTTAATCCACAAAGCTATATCTCTCACTCATATGAGATTGGGTGAGAGTTGGGCAGCTCTTCAGGGCAGCTCCGGGAAAGAGAGAGCATAGAGGTAGCACACCAGCTTTTAAATGCCTTGGCCCAGAAGATAACGTCACTTTTACACACTTTTCATTGGCTAGATCTAGTCACATGGAACCACCTAATTATCGGGGGATGAGAAGTCTTCCCTTCCCATGTACCTAGGAAAGAGAAGTAGATATGGGTAAGGAGACAGGCCCAGAGAGGTTAAGTAACTTGATTAAGGACATAGAAGTAGTTGGTAGTGGAGCCTGGGGTTCACACCCAGGAGGGCTGGCTCCAAGGGCTGGGGCTTTAGCTACTTCCCTCTGATCAGCTGTGGCCCTGTGCAGGTCACCCTTGCCCAGTGCGTAACTCTTTGTTTTAATTTCCCCATCAATTTGAATTTATTTTTCTTTCATTTTTATTATCTATTGTAGTTAATCCAACAAAAAATCATTGCATTTAAAATATAATTTCAGAAGTGTTACTTTGTAATTTAGTATGTCGTGATTTTTTTCATTAACTAGCCGTTTATGCTGTCTTATAGAGCACATAACCCTACCGAATGTTTATCCCCTAAAAGTATACTGAAATGGAGTATTTTTTTATTGTTAATTTTTTTTCTTGTGCTTTAGATGAAGGTTTACAGAGCAAATTAGTTTTTCATTAAACAATACACATATTGTTTTGTAACGTTGGTTACCAACCCCACGACGTGTCAACGCTCTCCCCTTCTGGATCTTGGGTTCCCCGTTACCAGCTTTCCTGTCCCGTCTGCCTTCTTGTCCTTGCCCCTGGGCTGGTGTGCCCATTTAGTCTTGTTTTGTTTTATGGGCCTGTCTAATCTTTGGCTGAAGGGTGAGCCTCAGGAGTGACTTCAGTACTGAGGTAAAAGCGTTTCTGGGGGCCATACTCTTGGGGTTTCTCCGGTCTCTGTCAGATCAGTAAGTCTGGTCTTTTTTTTGTGAGTTAGAATTTTGTTCTATATTTTTCTCCAGCTCTGTCTGGGACCCTCTATTATGATCCCTGCAGAGTGTAGCTCTCGGTCTTTGGGACATCGGCAGCCCCAGGGGTACGTATCACTCAGCACAGTGCCACAGTACATTGAAATTTTGTTCTGAGCTGAGTATAATAAGAACCTTAGAGAAGTAGGGGACATGGTCCCCTTCCTGTTAACCTCGGCTCAAGGTCACTAATCAGCTTAAAAAAAGAAAAATACCAGTTGCCTTTGAATCGGTCTAGACTCATGGTGACACCCTATGTATCAGAACTGTGCTCCATTGGGTTTTCAATGGCAAATTTTTTAGAAGTAGAGTGCCAGCCCCTCCCACCAGCAGCTAGAACTGGGTTAAAACTGGTTGATGGCTTTACTCACAGCCAGTTTCTACCCCACACTGGGTTGAGGGGCAGGGTATGTGGTATATGATCTTTGCTTCCCACCCAGAGCTGAATTACCCAATAACCAAGGTTTGCACAGGTCCAATTGTGCCTTCCCACCAGTCTGCAGTGCACCATTTCACCTGTCCTCCGCAGCATCAGAAATGTGGTAAAGAGAAGAAAACATTGATGGTTACGAGGGTGGGGAGGGAGGATGAGGGTTATTCGCTAACTAGATAGTAGATAAAAATTATCTCAGGTGAAGGGAAGGACCGCACACACTACAGAGGAAGTCAGCACAACTGGACTAAACCAAAGCTAAGAAGTTTCCTGAATACAGTCAAACAGTTTAAGGGACAGAGTAGCAGGGGTGGGGATCTGGGGACTATGCTTTCAGGGGACATCTAGGTCAATTGGCATAACAAAGCTTATTAAGAAAATGTTCTGCATCCTACTTTGGTGAGTGGCGTCTGGGGTC